GATATCATCAAAATGAGAACCGCCTTTTGTCTTGGATTGAACCTGAGTTTTAGACGCCGGGAGCAGGCTAAACTTCGACGATTTCAAATTACATGATTTCTTCTCATCTCTGGGAGCTTTTACAGTTGTCACCATTTCTTTGGTATCTCCAGACAATTTGTGAATACGAATGATGGTTGTCTGTAATTTCTCAAATTGGTTAAGATCCGAAGTTCCTTGTATATCTGAGTTTACAAGGTTATGTTCATTGGCCTTTCTCTCTTTTGTACAGGAATCTCTTTTCCTTTGGCCAAAACAGATATTCTACCCATCATCTTGGACATCTGCTCTCTTATTTCTCATATCTCCTTTTGGTCTTCAATGGGCATACAATCTTTGGGTGTATAGCTCTCCTCTATCTTCGGAGTTCCCTCCGGATGCCATTCCTTGGCTGTGTCATAGTTTGCTTGATCATAAAACTTTTTTTCCATTTATGAAAACTTTCTAATTTGATGAACATCTTTCAAATCAACACCTTTTGGTCATACCAAGATCATGCAATGCAAGCACAAGAAATCAATATAAACAAATTAGAGCAAAATAAAATAAAATAAAAAATAAAATGGTTAGTACTAATTAATAGAAAGAAAAGATTCTTATTTATCATGGTATATAAATAAATCCTAACCTCATGCTTTCTAGTTTCATGCTTTGTTTGGAAAAATTAACCTAACCGCATGATTACTAGTTCGCATGCATTTATTCAGAAAAAAGAAAATCAATCAAATAAATTGAAAGCTAGAGCTTATTTCTCCTTTGTGTACACCTACGGACAGGGTTTCAGCATTGTCTTAGATCAGGTGAAGTTCTAGGGTTTATATATGCATGGTTTCGATTCTAAGAGTAAAGGTACTCGAATTGTCCTTGTTGGTGCCCCCTTGGGCTACCAAACCCTCAATCCTAGTCCATCACAGACTTAAGCGGATCGAGTTCAATTCGAGCGGACACATTTTCATATGTCTAACACGGAGAATAAATTCTCACAAAGACATAGGATATATGAACCCCGAAAGTTACTTGCTATGTCTGAAATGGAGAATAAATTCTCACGAAGACATCGCTTTCACTCCCATTTAAAAGGGAAAAGAGCTCGGGTATAGAGCTTATGTTATGCAATGCAAGTGTTGTGTGTGAGGAGAAATTTTCACACAAAAATTAATAACTAAAATCAAAAATATAAACATTAATATATAAGGATATAAAAATAATAAAGGATAAAAAATAATAAAAATTGAATGAAATAAAAAGAATCATAAATTAAATAAAATTGGATTCTCAATTTCTAATTATAGAGACAACATATAATCGACTTAGGTTGACTAGGAAAAGTCCCCAGTGGAGTCGCCAAGCTATCGTAACCGGTTTTCATCCGGGCACGAAATTTTACTTGGCGGGAAAAACAATGTGGATAAATGGTTTTTATTGAAATGTTTTGGGAGTCTCCATCGGCCTTTTGGGTCAGGTAGGTTGAATACCTAAAAATCATCTTTTAAAAGAGTTTTTAAGAAAACATTAGTTAAAAGATAAACTGGTCTGCATTTAACCAAAAATTCGTTATTTTTAATAATAAAAAAGTGATTCGTGGTCGATTACGTTTGGGGAAGGATTAGCACCCCCACAACGCCCAATCCCTGTCGATTATAAATTGTCTCTAATAATCGAATTTAAGAATTCGAATATAAATTTAATTTATGATCCTATTATTTCGTATTTTAATCGGATGATTCTAAGGAAGAAAAAAATATTAAATAATTTTTATAGATCATAAATAAAATATTTATTTATTTAAAACATCAGAAAATGACATCTAGTTGCTTTAAGACTGCCCTTTCTTAATGTTTGAAAAATAAATAAATATTAAAAATAATAATTTTCCTAAGAAAATAATTTAAATAAAACAATATGTATTTTTTGTTTTTTATAAGTAAGATATTTATTTATTTTTAAAATACCAGAATAGGACATCTAGTTATATTAAGTCTGCCATTTTCTTTGGTATTAAAAATAAATAAATATTAAGAAGAATATAATGAAAAAATAATGAAGTATATATATATATATATATATATATATATATATATATATTTATAAATAACATATTTATTTATTTTTTAAAATACCAGAATAGGACGTCTAGTTATTTTAAGACCGCCCTTTCTTAATATATAAAAAATAAATAAACATTATTATTTAATCAAATATATATTTATATGAATAAATAATATTTAAAATATTAAATTAAACATATTAAAAAATAATAATAATAAATTTCAATTAAATAATGACTAAAATAAATAAAATTTAAACTCTAAGATTAAAGTGCAAAATATAAAAATTAACAATCAAAAAATTAAAATATCAGTGATTAAAATAAAACATATTAAAATTAGAATCTCTAATTCAAAATATTATGAAATATAATAATTAAAAGTGTAATTTAGCCATATATATTTATTCGGGATTAAAATAAAAGTTAATTAAATTAAAGGGACTAAATAGATATTTACCCTAAATATTTAAACATAGATATACGGTGACTAAATTATAAATAAAATTAAATTTGAATGCTAAATTAAAATATATGAAAATTTATTATAGTGACTAAATTATAATAAAGAAAAATTAAAATATATAATTAAAACGTATGAAAATTTATTTTAATGACCAAATTGCAAAGATACAAACATAGAGGGTCTGTGCGTATGGTTTGACCATGCGAGATATTACACAGGGACCCCTCACCAAAAACGGCGTCGTTTTGATGAGGGTATTTATACCCCTTTAAATCGGCCCCAAGGGCCATTTAGCTTCATTTCTTCTCTATGGTTCTCTCTCTGAACTCTCTCTCTTCTCTCTAAACTCTCTCCCCGGAGAGAGAGCCGGCCATCGGCCGACAGCCATGATTTTTCGCCAGCACCGTCGCGATGGCCGAAAATTAGAAAAATACCCCAATTTGTATATCTCACCAACCTAAAACCGAATTCGGCCTCCCCTTTCTCTAAAATTTCCCTGAATTCCGTAGATCTGAAATTTTACATTTGAGATTCGATGATTTCAGACGACTTTTGGGCTCTGGTAAGTTCTTATCTTCTTCATTTTGTTTTTCCGGTTGGTTGATGGTTGTCGAATGTTGTTGTGTTGGTGTTGATTTGCTCTCGGTGGTTGTAGTTCTTGCTCTGTTTCGTGTTGGTTTTTGCTGTCCTCCCTCCTTTTTTTGTTTGCAGGTGGTCGATGGCTTCTTATAGCCATCGATAGTGTTCTCTTCGGACCGGTCATAAGAATGGCCCTCGATGAGTCACCAAACCTTTAGTGGTGACTCACAATAGGGTCTCAATGTGGGTGGTGACACGGCACTTCTAGAGGCTTCATCGAGACGGCGGCGTCGTGGCTGCAAGATTAATGGTAATCATGGGGGAAAAAAAGAGAAATCTTCATAATTTTAAAATAAAGAATGACTCCAATTGATCAGTCATGGATAAATCAGATGACGATGTCTAATCTTCAATGTTGAAAATTTCTTAATTGATCGAAGACTTATTACTTGTAAATTTGCGTTCCAAAGGGGATGAACGAAGAAATAAGTCTCTTTTTCCCCCCTTAATATTGCTTTCCCATGTATTTTAATCTTATTTTCAGTTTAACTTTTTTAATATCATTCTGTTTAAAATAAAAAAAAAAAAGTTAGAAAATTAAAGAAAATCTTTTTTTATAGTTTGGTAACTAACAATCTTTAATTTTTTTAAATAACCAGAGTATTTTATTTATCGAAAGTCGTATCAACAAACGTCTTGCCAATTATAGACTGAATAAATATAGTCAAGACCATCGAAATAAAATATAACAATGATCGCTTAGTGATAGTCTGATAAACAAAACCATTAACAAGTGAAGCAACGACGTACATAAACTGAACACACCAACGGCTTCGAGCATCAAAACATAGAGGAGAAAAAACTTGAAGAATAACTAAAATGGTCAATGAAAAAACGATCTCCCCTTAACAACAATTCTATCTGGCACATATATGCGATAACTAACGAACCTTCTTGTATAAACGAACAGAAAAACTAGACATTGGGGAAGCAACCAACTATGTATTCAGTGAAAAACAAAAAACCAAGAAGAAAGCCAATAAAAAAACCTGTACTGAGAGTCTAAAACACGGGTAACCATGATACATTTTACTAGAAAAATGGCCAAAAGAAATTATTATTAAAAATATGATAAAAAATCTAAAATGACATAGTGATGGTCAGAGAAAATCACAACCGCTGCCATGAAACAAAGAAATTTTAAAAATTACCCAATAAACTATATAACTTACGCAGATCGCTTTGTGAAAAAGTAGGCTTATCGTTTCTAATTTTAAATATCAATTTGGTTAAGATTTCTAGTCTTCCTTCGAGACGAAATTGGGAGGCGTTTTTATTTTAAAAAAACGCCAAAAAAATTATTTATGGGATAATTAACCAAAACTTCATTAATTAGAAAAATATTCATAAGATTATTTCACGCTCTACAAAACGCTTTTAATAGATCTCGAGTTTTATTAAACACGAGATTCATCAACTTTTCATATAAATTGTTTATTTTTTGGATAACGAAAATAATAAATGAATGCAACTCGCTTTTCGTAGAACGCTAGATCTAACATCACTTTTCACAGAACGCGCGATCATTCATTTTTCATAGAACGCGCGATCATTCACTTTTCACAGAACGCGCGATCATTCTACGTGAGCAGTTCAAGGGTATTTTTTTAATTAATGGTGTTAGAGTTACTTTTCAAATAAATGATTTTTTCCAGGTTTTTTAAAATAATAACGCGAAATTAGCAGACAATAAAAAGTCAATGACTTGACTTTGAATAATTTATAAAGTATTTTCCTTTGTAGAACAAACCATATTAGTATAATTTATAAACCTTATATCTGTTGTCTTATGATCCAACCTAAAAGGAGATGACTTTCACAATCCTGCTAGTAATAGTCCTCTTCTGGCTTAGCCTTAAATCGGAAGCTCAGCAGCCTACTTATATCTACCATGTGTGTTCGAACACCACCACTTTCACCGTAAACAGCACTTACCAAGCGAATCGTGACACCGTCTTGTCTTGGCTGGTGTCTAATACCACCCGCGGAGATGGTTTCTACAACACAACCGCAGGCAGCAGCCCCGACACCGTATACGGCATTTCCCACTGCCGTGTGGATATTAATACCACCTTCTGCCAAGCGTATATCAACTTCGCCTCCGAAGACCTTACCCGACGTTGTCCCGTTGAAAAAACAGCGATTATCTATTACGGGGAGTGCCTCCTCCGGTACTCGAATCGAACTATCGTTTCGGTTTTGGAAGACTCACGTATAGGTTATTGGCTCGACACACAGAGAAACACCAGCTTCATCCCGCAAGATGGATATTTCGACCAGGTAGTGTCGGCCGCGGCAGTGATTAGCATGAACGAAATATTAAACCGGGCGGAAAATCAACCGAGTGAAAAAAGATTTGCAGCGGTAGAAACCAGAGTTTCAGCGAATCAAAAACTGTACATCCTCGAGCAGTGTTCACCGGACATATCGGATACGGATTGCAGAATATGTCTGCAAAGATCGATAGAGAATCTAAGTTGTTGCGTCGGAAGGCAAGGGGGAGGAGTGTTGAATCCTAGCTGTAACGTCAGATATGATATTTACCCATTCTATAACCAAACAGCAATTGCACCTCTACCTCCGGCTCCGGCTCCAGGTTTATCCTTCCTGGCATAAGTTTTAAATTCAGTCCTTTAACTCTGATTTAGTATAATATCTGATTCTATCCTGATTTAATTAGAAGAAGACACACAAAACAATTCAAACTGGATCACAATACTTGTTGCAAGTTTATCAGCAACTTTCGGAGTAGCTCTGATTTCGGTCTCTGGTTTCTTCATCTGGAGGAGGAGAAACAATCAAGGTATGCAGCGGATTACTCTTTCTGGCAAGAACTGTTGGAAATAAAACACTCACACAAACAACTTTTATTGAAACTCAAACAAATATTACAAGAGTACTCTCACTCAAAAACAAGAACTACAACTCACTCTTATAAGACTTTGCTTCTTCACTCACTTAGAAGCTCTTAATTTTTCTTGATGCTTAAAACTAAAATGGGAAGGGGTATTTATACTACTCAAGAACAATCCTACACCACACAAATAAACTAATTTAAACCATTACAAATTCAACAAATATCTAACTCTCACCTAACTAAATTGATGTAAGCAATGACATCATTAATTAAATGATGTAAGCAATGACATCTTTAATTAAATGATGTAAGTAATGACATCAATTTAGTTTGGATTTGGGTTTAGGCTCCCATAATGGATCAAGTTTATGATCCACACCCTCCCTTAAACTTGATCTCGTGACCCCTAGTAGGTTCCTTAATCTTAAGAAGTCTTCGCTGGTCAGTGGCTTGGTAAAAATATCAGCAACTTGATCTTGTGACTTCACATATTCAACTTCCACATCTTTTCTTGCAACACACTCCCTTATATAGTGGTAGCGAATATCAATGTGCTTGCTTCGATCATGGAATACTGGATTCTTCGCTAAGGCAATGGCTGACTTGTTGTCGACACAAACCTTGGTAGGCTCTTCTTGTATCAAACCAATCTCCTTCAATAGATTTCTAAGCCAAATTGCATGACAAACACATGAGGTAGCAGCAACATATTCCGCTTCACAAGTGGATAATGTGACAATCGGTTGTTTCTTTGACATCCATGTGAATGCAATATCTCCCATGAAAAATACGAATCCAGTAGTGCTCCTTCGATTATCTATGTCTCCACCCCAATCACTGTCGCTATATCCAACAAGCTTGTAATCATTAGAAACTGAATAGAACAAGCCAAAGTCAATTGTACCTTTCAGATAGCGAAGAATTCTCTTTGCGGCTTTAAAATGGGTGGTTGTTGGGAATTCCATGTAGCGACTAACCAATCCAACTGCGTGAAGAATATCGGGTCTCGTGCAAGTTAGATAGCGTAGACTTCCTACCAAACTTTTGAAGAATGTTGGATCTACACTTTCACCTTCTTCATGTTTGGTCATCTTGATCCCGTATTCTGCCGGTGTGCTTATTGGCTTACAGTTCTCCATCTTGAACTTCTTCAGTATCTCCTTTGCATAGCTTTCCTGTGAAATGAAAATTCCATCATTTTGTTGCTTAACTTCAATGCCAAGGTAGTACGCCATGAGCCCCATGTCTGTCATCTCGAATTCTTTCATCATCACATCCTTGAATTCATTAAACATGCTTGGGTTGCTTCCAGTGAAGATCAAATCGTCCACGTAGAGGCACACGATCAAAATATCTTCATCTTTGATCTTGATATATAGAGCATGCTCGTAGGGACATTTGTTGAAGCCATTCTCTTGGAAGTACTTGTCGATTCGGCTATTCCATGCCCTTGGTGCTTGTTTTAGCCCGTAAAGAGCCTTCTTCAACTTTAACACCTTGTCTTCATGCCCTTTGACTTCATAGCCTGATGGTTGCTGAATGTAAAGTTCCTCTTCAAGAACTCCATTTAGGAAGGCGGACTTTACATCCATCTGTTGTATCTTCCACTTGTTTTGAGCTGCCAAAGAAATGATTAGTCTGATAGTCTCCAATCGAGCAACAGGAGCAAATACCTCATCATAGTCAATTCCAGCCTTTTGACTATAGCCTTTAGCAACTAGCCTCGCCTTGTGCCTTTCAATCTCTCCTTTGGCGTTTTGCTTTGTTTTGTACACCCATTTGACACCTATCGCCTTATGTCCCTTGGGAAGTGAGGTAAGTTCCCATGTGTCATTCTTCTCGATGGCCTTGATTTCTTCGTCCATCGCATCTCTCCATTTCTTTTCTTGTACCGCTTCTTGAAAGCTCACTGGTTCACAATCGGCAAACAGACAAAATAATGTAAGATTATCTTGTTGTTCAGTTACCTCATAGAGATCTCTAAGGCTTCTTGTGCGTTGCACAACTCTTTCACTTTGACTCCCACTTGACGATGATGAAGGTGATGAGTCTCCTTGAGTGGTTGATGTTGGTGAAGTGGGTGGAGTTGCAAGCTCTTGTTGAGATTCATCTAGTTGCTCCCTCATTGTCTGCTCATCTTCTTCAAACTGAGGAAAGAAATTGAAGTCATCTGTATGGGAGTTAAATCCCATTCTCCTTCTTCGTTGAAGACCACATCTCGACTAATCACAAACTTCTTATTGTCTGGATTGTACAACTTGTAGCCCTTCGAATTAGCATCATAGCCGATGAAGATAAAACTCTCGCTTTTATCATCAAGCTTCGTTCTTCTCTCGTCTGGTACGTGAACATGGGCTATACTTCCAAAGGTTCTCAAGTGGGAAATGCCAGGCTTTCTTCCACTCCATGCCTCTTGCGGTGTCTTTCCCCATACACTTCTTGTTGGAGATCGATTTGACAAGTAGACTGCACACGATACTGCTTCTGCCCAAAATTCTTTGGGTAGTTTCTTGCTTTTGAGCATGCTTCGTGCCATGTCGAGGATTGTTCTATTCTTTCTTTCTGCCACACCATTTTGCTGGGGGGATCTAGGAACTGTCATTGGTCGACGAATTCCATTTGCTTCACAGAACTCTTGAAACTCCCTGGAAGTAAATTCTCCACCTCGATCGGATCTCATGGCTTTGATCTTTCTACCGTTTTCTCTCTCCACTGCTGCTTTGAACTTCTTGAATACTTCAAAACTTCTGACTTCTGTTTCAAGAAATATACCCAGGTTTTTCTTGAAAAATCATCAATGAAGAGAAGAAAATAGTTATTGTTACCGAGAGAACTTGGCTTGATCGGTCCACACACATCGGTATGGATGAGCTCAAGTGGCTTCTTAGCTCTTGTCTCTGACTCCTTTGGAAAGCTTTTCCTGAATTGTTTCCCGACTAGACACCCTTCACAGAGTTGGTCAGGATGGTTGATGTGAGGTAGTCCTTTCACCATCTCCTTCTTAGATAATAGCTCTAGACCTCCAAAATTGAGATGCCCAAATCGAAGATGCCAAAGCCATGATGCATCTTTGTAGCAAGCTTTCAGGCACTTTGCAACATCATTTGTATGTTGATCAAGAACATTCTATTCTTTGACATCGGCACTTTAGCAATGAAGTTATTCTTATCATCTTTTATAGAAAGATTATAATTATTCATATGAATATCATAACCTTTCTCTACCAGTTGCCCTAAACTTAAAATGTTACTTTTCATATTGGGCACATAGTAGACATTTGAAATAAATTGATGTCTCCCATCTTTCAAACGGATAAGAATGTTACCTCTCCCTTTCACTGCTATTGTGGAATCATCTCCAAACGAAACATTTCCACTTACTGACTCGTCTAGCTCCACAAACATGTCTTTCCTTCCACACATGTGATTGCTTGCACCACTGTCAAGATACCAGGAATTTGCTTGGCCACCATCAGTTTCCTTTCGTGCTAGAAGAAGAGTTTCTTTGCCATCTGTCTTTTCCTCCACGTAATTGGCCTTCTCCTCAATTTTGTTGTTGGGAGCTCTACATTCTGAAGCATAATGCCCAAATTTTTGACAATTATAACATCGAATTTGAGATTTGTCATACTTTGAGTTTGGATTAATTCTTCCACGGCCTCGTGTTGAGCTTTCTCCTTTCTCATAGTTGTTGTTGGAATTGTTATTGTTGTAATTCCAGCCTCGTCCACGACCTCGACTTCCACCTCGTCCATGGCCTCTACCTCTGCCTTGGCCACGTTGGTTTCTATCATTGCGTTGGCTCTCATGCATATCCTTGAGTTGCAGCTTGAGGAGTTGCTCAGTAAACTCATGCTTCTTTTTATGCTTCTCTTCGTATGCTTGCAATGATCCTTGGAGCTGTTCGATCTTCATTTCTTCCAAGTCTTTAGTTTCTTCAATCGTCACGACGATGTGCTCAAATTTGGGATCCAACGAACGGAGTATCTTCTCTATTATCCTCACATCGTCTAACTTTTCACCATTTCTTTTTAATTGATTAGAAACAGCTACTACTCTTGAGAAATAATCTGAAATAGACTCAGATGCTTTCATGTTTAAGGATTCGAATTCACCTCTTAATGTTTGGAGACGAACCTTCTTCACTTGCTCGGATCCTTTGTAAGAGGTTTGCAGCTTCTCCCACGCTTCCTTGCTAGAGCTTGCACTTGAAATCTTTTCAAAACCATCATCATCTAATGCTTGATAGATGAGGTAGAGAGCCTTCTTGTCTCTCTTTCTTGAATCCTTCAAAGTTGTCTTTTGATCTGGTGTAAGAGTAGCAAAAACATCATCATCCGCAGGCTCATTATAGCCTTTCTCTATGATATCCCACACATCTTGTGATCCAAGAAGTGCCTTCATTTTGATACTCCAATTGTCGTAGTTGTTGTTGTTGAGTGTCGGAACTTGGAATGGTGCCATACCATTTGCCATATCTCTCAATATAATGAGATTTTGTAAAATCCGATTGCACGGATGAATCCGGAACGATGAAAAAAAAAACTTTGGAGGGACTTGGACAACTCGGTCAAGGGCTCCAACTCGGCTGAATCGGCTCAACTCGGTGAGTCAACTCGATTTTCTGGCAGCAGTCTTCCGGCGGTGCGTGGCGGTGCGTCAGAACTCAGATTGAGAAAATTCTGGCGGCGTCGTATTCCTCTTGTCGAGACCTTCGATCTTTCCAACTCTCTCTGATGCCACTTTGTTGGAAATAAAACACTCACACAAACAACTTTTATTGAAACTCAAACAAATATTACAAGAGTACTCTCACTCAAAAACAAGAACTACAACTCACTCTTATAAGACTTTGCTTCTTCACTCACTTAGAAGCTCTTAATTTTTCTTGATGCTTAAAACTAAAATGGGAAGGGGTATTTATACTACTCAAGAACAATCCTACACCACACAAATAAACTAATTTAAACCATTACAAATTCAACAAATATCTAACTCTCACCTAACTAAATTGATGTAAGCAATGACATCATTAATTAAATGATGTAAGCAATGACATCTTTAATTAAATGATGTAAGTAATGACATCAATTTAGTTTGGATTTGGGTTTAGGCTCCCATAATGGATCAAGTTTATGATCCAACAAGAACTACAGATCTTTCTTATATTTTCATGGCGGTCGCGCTTCGATTTTATTACAGAGAATAGGGAAAATAGCCAAGGTGCTCAACTACTTGACTTGGTAGACGGAAGAATTCCTAATGAGCACTCAACGGAAACGTTTAGTGGAGAAAATATGGGCAAGTCTCAAGAGTTACCTTCAATTCAATTGGATATTTTACATGCAGCAACAAACTCCTTTTCTCATAATAATAAGCTCGGGGAGGGTGGATTTGGTCCCGTATACAAGGTAAATTATTTTAGGTTAAACTATATTAAAGACCACCTAACTCTAGAGGGCCTATCATTTATATTATATAACATGAAGCTTTTGTTCGAGTCTATATCTGAATCCAGATGCGTTACATAAATGAACGAATTATTCCAGGGCACACTAGCAGATGGTAAAGAAATTGCTGTTAAGAGACTGTCTGGAACTTCAGGTCAAGGGCTTGTTGAGTTGAAGAATGAAGTCATGTTAATCGCCAGATTACAACATAGAAATCTTGTGAAGCTCTTAGGATGCTGCTTAGAGAAAAACGAAAATTTGCTTGTGTATGAATTCATGCACAATAGAAGCCTCGACGTCTTCCTTTTCGGTTTGATCCCAAGACTTTTATCTTTCTTATAAAGAAAAAAAATACTAACATTAAACAAAGTAGTGAAATGTTTTGCTTTTGATCTGCATTTATCTCAGATCCAAACTTATCAGCACAATTGGATTGGCAGAAACGACTCGTCATCATTAAAGGAATTGCCCGAGGTATCATGTATCTACATGAAGATTCTCGTCTCAGAATTATCCACAGAGACCTTAAAGCCAGCAATGTTCTACTTGATCATAAAATGAATCCGAAAATCTCAGATTTCGGTATGGCAAGAATTTTCGGAGAAGATAGGAATGAAGCAAATACCAAGAGAGTAGTCGGGACATAGTAAGTCTAAGTGCACTCATTGTTATTTATTGATTTTCTCCGTACTTTTGTTTTAATCGTTTCGTACAAATTACTAAAACAGCGGATACATGGCACCCGAGTACGCTATGCATGGCCTCTTCTCTATCAAATCTGATGTTTTTAGTTTTGGTGTCCTGCTGCTGGAGATTATAAGTGGAAGAAAGAACAATGGTTTCCATCTTTTACTGAGTGGTGAAAGCCTGCTGACTTTTGTATGTTTTTCATTTCTCCTTCGTCTTCAAACACTAGGTCCAATAAGCAAACTATTGTAATGATTTTTAAGCTCTAAAATGATCCAGGCATGGAAACTATGGTCCAAAGGTGCAGGGATGGAGTTGATAGATCAATGCCTTGTTCCGTCAAGTGTGGCTTCTGAAGTTCTTAAATGCATTCATATCGGGCTGTTGTGCGTGCAAGAAGACCCATCGGTCAGGCCAACCATGTCATCGGTGATTTACATGTTGGCAAGCGATGGTACCATATCGCTTTCTCGTCCAACTGAACCAGCATTTTCTGTTGGACGTGCCATCGTCGAACCATCACAATCTAATTCAAATGATGGAGCTTGTTCCGTTAATGAGGTCACTATTTCGAATTTCGTGCCTCGTTGATTTCATCATTGCTTTAAGAGTGCGTTTGATTAAGGGAATATAAGATTATCAGTAGAAATAAAAGATTATCAGGGAATAAGATTACTAGGAATGTTGTATTTTGTGTTTGGTTATTTTAGCAGAAATGTAAAATTACCGTGTTTGGTTAAAAGAATAAAATATTATTGGAATGTATATTTAACCAAATTGTCTTTATAATATATATTTTTTAACAAGTTGAATTCTACTATAATATTACTATTATTAATTTATATATTTTCTTTAAAAAAATTAAATTCATAAAATTTATATAGTTTTTTTTACAAAATTAAAAAGATAAATATGTTTAATGAAATGGTAAAATTTTATTTTAACCCCTTAACTTCATATAAAATTTTAATTATAGATTTTTTTTGTAAATCTAAAATAGTTTAAGGATAAATTTGTAATTTAACTTTCGTAGAATTTTTATTATTCAACGACAGAAGAAGGATATTTTTGAAAAAAAATTAAAGACACTTTAGTTCAAAACGCCGGTAAGCCAACAATATCTAATGGAATGGGGTAATCACATTTCCAGTAATATATCCCAAAAAAATCACTGTTGGAAATAAAAAAATTATCGAGAATGAAATTACCGACCAACCAAACGAGAAAATGAAGATTACATTCCACCGGTAATACAATTCCTTGAACCAAACGGGACCTAAGGTTTTTAGACTATCGATGGTTTGTAAATATATCATTTTCATTTTGCAAACTTACGTAGCAAATATATCCCATCTTGATTTAGTTTTCATAACTTCCTAGCATTATTATTAACATAGTATTATTTAATTTATAAATTATAAACATAAATAATTATATTTATTTAATATAAAATTAAAAAAATTATTATTTTTATTATGTACATTTTAATCACATTCAAAATTTATACAGTAAATTATATATCACAGGCTGTAGTTGCTTTTATTTTTCTAATAAAACTACTTTGCTGAGAGAAAAAATTGTATATCAAATGAAAATCATACACGAATTTCATATTTATCCATATAAAAATAAAGATTAACTAAAGTCACATGTCTTATTTATAAAAGAAAGGTCTAAAACCTTAACTAGTCTATGAAATTTAAAAGCGATAAAATAATTTCTCTGTCGCCGGTATTGAAATAGCATTTATGCTTTTGGAAAACGTGATTGTAATAAAATAAGGATTAATATTAGATGTATTCATAGTGTATAATTATATGTATTATCAATAAATTAGATGATGAAATATTATAATAAAATAAATAATTATATAATATATCTTTAAATTATGATTTTATTTTAATTTGATATTTTAAACTTTAATATATTTTATATCAATCTGTAAACTATAATTTTATTTTAAATTGATCCTTAAATTTTCAAGATATTTTATATTAATCTTCAAATTATTGATATCATTCCATTTTGATCATGCCATTACACGTTGTTAATTCTAGTTCTTGAAAAAATTTTAATTTGTTTTTGAAGGTCATTATTGAACATGTGACCTAAAAAAAATCTCAAAATCTTTAAAAAAGATTAGTTTTTGTAGAAGGTCTCAAACTCAATCTATGGGTATGCAGAAACTAGTAAAATTAACAACGCATTAATAAAATGATCAAAATGAAATGATATTAATAGTTTGCAAACTAATACAAAATATTTTAAAGTGTAAGTGTAACAACCCAGAAAATTTGAAGAAAAAAAATGAAATTAAGCAATATGGTAAAAATTGGGGACTAAATTAAAAGTTCTCAAAACTTGTAGCATGTTTTAAAGTTTAAGGAAATTCAGGGACTAAATCCTGAATTTACCCAAAAAAGTGTCGGCAGACACTCTAATAAATGGGAATCAGATATGCGGGGAGTTATCATAAGAGAAAAAAAATTAAGCTTTTCTTCACTCTCGTACCCTAACTTCCAACCACTATTCCGACGTCATCTAACCTCCGATCATCGTTTTGAAACCACCATCGTGTTCATCATCGAGCGAGAAACAAACCCCTTAAATTAATTGAAGTGAAACGCTGCCAAACGCCGTGAATTTCAAGTCAAAGTCTCGACATTTTTTTAGCTCTATCGTCAAGAAAATCTTAAATTCATCGTCGATCGTTGCTCCTTTTACGATACCTCCCGCACCATCGTGTTCCTTGTGCCATTCTAAGTCCGCCAGTGTCATCCTTGGTCTCCATCGACGGCGGCGCGTGGGGAGGTGAAGCGGTCAAAGTTTTCGATTTGTTGAAATCGAGCTCTCCGCCGTTCAAAAATTTGAACCGAGCTTTGTAAGTATCTCGAAATCACTCAAAAATAATTTTTAGAAATTTTTCCGTGAATTATAGGACACCGGAGGAGGTCCCATGCGCCCCTATGTGCCACCACTGCGCGTGGGGAAGGGCTCGGCCAGTGCTTGAAACCGGTTTGACCGGTCTGAACTGGGTTGATCAGTCCGACCCGACCCGTTGACCTTTGACCAAAACTTTGACCAGCTTTGACCGGCCATTAAACGACCGTTAATCTTTTTCGAGTATAACTATCCTGACATTTTTCGATGTCCCGAATCCGTTTCACCAAATTCGAACCCGAAAGTTTCCAAATTGTCAATCAAACCATTTGACTTTAACTTTGACCGAGAATTTAAATATCTGGAAGGTCATACTTTATATTTTTCGACGTCCTGAATCTGATTCCGAAGTCCGTTTTGCCAAATTATGACCCGAAATTCCCAAATCGAGCACGTGAACCCAAAAAGGCTTAGTATTTTAGTATTTTGATTATTTATTTGAGTTTTGGTTAAGGAATTGATTCAGTAAAAATATTTTATGAAGGTACTCGTGTTTCACTTGAGTGAGGATCAGTTAGGTCTCGAGATGTCCGTTCGTTAGATCAGCCTGAACCTCGTACTACAAGAATTACCCGTAGGTTTCCGTAAACTATTTAAATAAAGATTAAGATTATTTATATTATAATTTCAATATGGATCTTTCCAATTCGTAGGATCTAGCACTGCAGCAGAGCGTGATCGATAGATCCAGTAGTAGGCTTCCCTATCTGATTTCTCATACTGTTACAGGTGTGTTTTCATGACAGTGTTACATTATTACTGTTTTAAAATATATATCTGAATATTGTATATCTGATATCTGATTCACCGTATATTTCTAATATGATTTCTTGTTACGGTATTTTATACCGATTTTCTGAATACTGATTATCCGATATCTGAATTTTTGTATACTACTGATTTACCTTCTGATTTTTGTATTTCTGTATATGATTTCCAAGTATGAACAACTTTATGTTTTAAAGAATTAATCATTGTTTCCATTCAAATACATTCATGTTCATTTCTGTCATTGGGGGGTATTGTTGAAGGAAGTATATTTGCAGGTTCCTTGGCTGTGTGCTCAGGACCTTACTGGTTGTGTGGGATGGGTATATGGTTCTGGGGAACCTACACAAACAGATTGTGAAAGGATGGAGGTAGTGTTCATGTTTCAAAACATATTGCATAAACAAAAATTTTGTTGTAATATTTTATTTGTATATTTTTATACACTGTATGGAGCACACTGGGCTTTTTAGCTCATTCTATAGTTTTACCCTTTTTCAGATAACAACAGACAGTAAGCAACAGATTTAGCATCAGGGGAGATCAACTACTTTATTTTGTACGAACGTATATCTCTATATGTTTTTTTAGTTGTGTGTGGTGGCATGTATTTTGCTATCGTTTTGGATATATCTGTATTATTTATATTTTGTTATGTATTATATCTAATGTATTATAAGTCATTTTAAAAAAAATCTCTGAATGGGATATGTGACCACTTAGGTTTGAGTATAACTTATAGACCGGGTCTGGGGGTTACATTTGGTGGTATCAGAGCTTTCAGTTTTAAACACTCGAACTGTATATGAGTCCTAAACTTTGGATTTTTATAAAAAAATATGTCACCTTATTTTATGATTTAAAGTTCTCTCGAGATCCCTGATGCTAATCTGACATATGTTTCAAATTCTTTCTGTAGAGCCTTATAGATCCAACAATGAGTGCTGCTAGAGGTCGCAGGACAGGACGTGGTAGTGGTCAAGGACGAATCACTCGACCTTCTGTTACGATAGATGATCCGATGTCACCACGTGATCCTCCTGTTCTGCAAGTAGATTCGACCATTTCTCATGATGATCAGCTTACTCCTGTGAGAGATCCTCCCGTCACTGGAGATGAGGATAATGACATGAACGAATACGCCATTAATAGAGCTATATTTCGCATGTTTCATAGAGCTGTCAGGCCCCTAGTAATATGAATGCGGTTGAGATTTCAAATTCTCTGGTTGCTGCTGGTGTAGTTCCATTTGAGGGTATTACTGGTGGACCTCCGACAGACGCTGAGTATTGGCTGGAGGACACAGAGATGATTATGGATGAGATGGACCTCAGATCTGAACAGAAGTTGAAGAGGGCCCTAACTATATTGAAGAAATAGAGCTTCAGATGGTGGCAATCAATTTCTGGTAGTATTCCGAGAAACCAGTTAACATGGGATATTTTCAAGACGCGCTTCTGGAGTCGCTACATCGGAGAGAGATACCTATAGGAGCGACGTCAAGAGTTTCAGAATCTAGAGTAGGGTAGCATGTCTGTTATGGACTACGAGGTTGAGTTCATCCTATTGAGCTGTTATGCTACTGGACTTGTTAACACAAAGGTAGATAGATGCTTGAGGTTCGAGAATGAACTCAGGTATGAAATCAGGAGCCAAGTTGCTACCCACCGAGAGAGAAATTTTGATGCATTGGTTGAGATAGCCAAGACTACTGAGGAAATAGAGCGATTGGGTATGGAGCACAGGAGAGATAGTGATCGAGCTCAAACCCGATTCAGGAGGCCTTCTGGTTCTATTGATTCTTCTGCACATCCTAGCAAGAGAGGCAGGAGTGATTCCTTTCAGAAAGGCGGTGCGAGTATCAGACCTGTTGCATCTGGTTCCTTAGCTGTTCAGCCTTCTAGACATGGT